GATGATGTCACGCTATTCATAGCTCTTGCCATCAGATACAAACAGCCCCTCAAGAGCACTGAAGTTATCATCTAAAATTACTTTTGCTGGATGATGCTTCCAAGGACCTCCGTTTGAGAAGAACAAAAGCAGCAAGGAAAATTGGGAGTCCGGGAAAGATAATTATTTCTAGAGCCAAGGTGAGTCAGCTATTATCCCTAAGCCCCAGTTCACGACAGCCAATTTTCCGATTGATTTTTGTCTTTTCCTATCTGAGCTTGATTGCTCAATCACAGAACCCTAAATTTACTTTTCTCAGGCTTCCTCAGCCTAAGGGGGCGGGGAAAAAAGGCTTTGTCACAGTAAGGGACTTTCCACACTTGCCAGAGAAGATCAACACGAGACAAAGGTTGAGTATATATATATATATATATATATATATATATATGCCCCCTAACTTCTCACTCTCCCATGGTTATTTGATTTTCTACAGATATTAGGGCTCCAGAGAGCTGATTTTCTGAGCATTCAAGATGCCAGGATGTTTAGTTACAGGTAAGTTGATAAATTCATCCTCCTGCTCTATGTCTGTAGCAGGTCTCGACAGTGACTACATGTCAACATACAAAGCTCAACAAAGAATTTTATGAACATCAACATGTCTCTTGGCTTCTGCTCCCAAAATCTTTTCTGACTCTGTCTACTGCCTTGTGACTTCATTTCCCCTCCTTCCTCATCAAACATGAGGACATTCATCTTCTAGCTAGTCTTGTTCCTTTCTCATCTTCCCTCCCTTCCCCTAAGACATTATCCATACCACAGCTAAAGTTAAAGTGATGAAGCACAGGTCTGATTATGTTGTTCCCTTGCTCTGAAAACCTGAAGTCTGTTCAGTTGGCTACTCAACAGTCTAAACACCATAAGCTGGCATCTTTCCTGCTTCCCAGCCTCCTGTCTCACTTCCCTCTTTCTTTCTCCAGCAATGCGTCATTTACTTCTCCCCAAACTCTCCCACGCTCTTTCCCAACTCCATGTATTTTCCCACTGCCTCGGAATATCCTTCTCTATCCCATCTGCCTATTGAGGTGCTCACTGTCAGTAAAGGAAGACTAGGTAGTTCAGACAACTCCTTCCTCAGGAAATAACAAGGAGATCTGAATGAAATACAGAAATATTGTATTAAAAGCATCAAAGACCTAATAAGATGGTGAAAACCGGCTAATCAAAGTGTGGGAGGCGCCAGGCACCTAGAGAGATGAACATCACTTGGGAGAGCTTTCACCTGGGAGCATGTGCTGACGCAGAAGAGTCGAGATGCTAGGCTGTGCATTTGGCAGCCTCTCGAAAGCTGAGGGGACAAAAGACAGAATCTGGGAGCCTACCAATGGCTGGGATGCTTAAGACTGCATCACAGGCATTTAGATAGCTGGAAGTAAATCAGTCCTTATGTGGTCATCTGTTCAGCCAAGAAAATGTCAAACCTTTAATGTACATCAAGTTTGCTGCCCAAAACTGCTAGCATTCCCAAGGAGTGTGGCAGAAACAAACAAGCAAACATCTCTCTGGGGGAAGATAACATCATATGAGGTCATAAACATTTCCTTTATTTATTTATTTTTTGAGATGGAGTTAGGCTCTTGTTGCCCAGGCTGAAGTGCAATGGCACCATCCCGGCTCACCACAAACTCCGCCTCCCAGGTTCAAGCGATTCTCCTGACTCAGCCTCCCGAGTAGCTGGGATTACAGGCACGCACCACCATACCCGGCTAATTTGGTATTTTTAGTAGAGACGGAGTTTCTCCATGTCGGTCAGGCTGGCCTCGAACTTCCAACTTAAGGTGGTCCTCCTGCCTTGGCCTCCTGAAGTACTGGGATTACAGGTGTGAACCTCTGTGTCCAGCCATAAACATTTCTATAAACAGTCTTTCAAACACAATGCCCGGCACCCAGTCAAAATAACCAAGTTTCTCCAAAGTGGGGCAAAACCAGAAACTAACATTAGACTTTGATAATATAAGGGTGCATATTATACTTCTAGAGTAGCTTCTTGTGAATAGAAAAGAAGAATATAGTACTTCTTAACTAATAAGGAGGAAAAAATGGAGTAACAATATTAACAATAAACCCAAAAGAAAGGAAGAAAGGAGAAAAAAGGGAAGATAGGCAGGGGGCACAAATTGAAGAGCTAGTCATCATTCAAGGTGCAGCTCCAATGTCTTCTTTTTCCCTAAGAATTCCTTATCTTCTCCCCCAATCCAGTGCTCTCTTCATACTTACTTAGATTTCTACTGTAGCATTTATCCCATGGTGCTATCATTAATTGTTCAAGTGTTTACTTTCCCAGTTGTATTTTGCACACCTTGAAAGGAGATGTTCTGCTTATTCATCTTTGTATCTTCAATGCATAGCAGAGGGCTTGGCTCACAATACACATTCAACAAATACACATTGAAGCAAATTTAGTTGAAATGAACTAACTAAAAGAATACTGAGATGTGATGCTGGGAGAGCTGTCTGTGATTGTTCCTGCCTGCAGAGAGGAGCACATGGCTCAGGGAGGGTATCACCCTACTTGTTCCCCATTTAGAGTATTCGTACAAAGTCTTATGACTCAAGTGATACTAGTCCTCCGTAAGAATTAATATACAGGCCAGATGTGGTGGCTCATGCCTGTAATCTCAGCACTTTGGGAGGCCAAGGCAGGCAGATCACCTGAGATCAGGGGTTTGAGACCAGCCTGGCCAACATAGTAAAACCCCATCTCTACTAAAACTTCAAAATTAACTGGGCATGGTAGCACATGCCTGTAATTCCAGCTACTTATGAAGCTGAGGCAGGAGAATTGCCTGAACCTGGAAGGTAGAAGTTGCAGTGAGCTGAGATCTTGTTATTATACTCCAGCCTGGGCAACAAGAGCAAAACTCCATCTCAAAAAAAAAAAAAAAAAAAAAAAAAAAAAAAAAAAAAAAAAAAAAAAAGATGTAATATACAAAGAAAATAAGAGATAATTCAGTTTCCTTTTGTATCACACACTATTCAAGTATAAGCCTGGTGATCCCAGAAACCATCATGGTCCCACATGGAGAAAGTCATGTGAAAGTGGGCAGTGCACAAAGCAAAGCAGAGCCAGAGTTGGTGAGAGAGACAGATCCCTGGAAACATTGTGTGAACCCCTGGATTCAGCTGTGACTGAACATATATCCACCTTGCTTCCTTGGCTAAGAGCCAATACATTCCCTTTGTTGCTTAAGCTAATTTGATTTGTGTTTCTGTGGCTTGGAACCAAAGGGAGTCCCAATAAATACAAGAGACTTCTATGAGAAATTCTACATATTGAAGGCTGTTGCACTAACTTGTACTGGGATCAGCAGCAAGGTGTAGATGATCAGAAGACACTGGAACACTGGTAGATTTGACTGTAAGGAACATAAAAACTCCATAACTCTGATTTTCTAACAAACAGATTAGAATGCATGCATCCAAATATGTATTGATTCTTTCATAGTAGCTACCTTGGGAAACCAAATATGTATTCCAACCATTTGGTAAGGACTAAGTGAAAGGGCAAGAGTTCCTATGGAAAAGGCCCCCAAATTAGAAGGAGTATGAGGTTTCAAGGCAGGTGGAAACATGAATATGGGAAGGGTCAACCCTAGAGAAAGGGGAGCCAGGGCCATCCCACAAAGAGCAGGGAAGTCCAGAACTAGCCAAGCACTAGCAGCCAGCTCATTGTCCAAGGGCTCTTGGAAAGTGGGGCCCTGAGCCTCTGTTTTGAGTCTTGGAGACCTAGCTTTGGTGGGGCCCACCATTCCCTGGCCAGGGCAAGGCCTGATGATGGGTAAGGTGGAGGGGCTAGGATGCCACTTCTCATGAGAAAGCTCTGAGAAGTGCCCAGACACCATGGCCTCATGCTGCTGAGAATATTCAGAGCCCATGGACCAACACATTAAGGTGGATTTGTTTGGTACCAGAAGCATGAGCCCTGGACAGCCTAGAGAACCCTTGAATTTCCTCCCTTCCCTGAAGAAATGAGTAAGGATGCTATAAGTTTCTGTATTATGTTTTCAAAAGCCTCGGTGAAAATTTGCTTCCTCTCTGTGTCCATCTCTTTGACATGTATATACACAATGGCCCTGACAAGAAAAGTCCCTCTCTTATATATGAGCTGCCATTTCTCTCCACCCCATTCCCCGCAAATGATGATACAATATTTATTAAGGCTTAAATAGCACTGTTAAGTGCACATGTTGATTTAGAATGATGGAGTGTGTCAGTGCACAGAACAGGAACTCAGCCACAGACTAGGGACCCACAAAGGACAAGGAGATACATCATTAGCTAAAGACCCAAGCTAGCAAATGTCACCAGCAGAGACAAGTCCTTAATGAGGGCTCTCTTTATGGCTATTCTTAACACCAATTTTTATATTTTCAAAAATAATATAACATTATATATGCATAAGCTTAAAGAAATTTAAACTGCACATACTGGTATGAAGTAAAAAGTAAACCCCTATCTGCTCTCTCCCACACAAGTCCCATACTTCAGAGGAAACTCTCTTAAGCTTGTTTTTTAAACTCTTCTGATAAGTTACCACCATAATTCTAAACAATACGCATAGATTTCAATTTCTTAGCTTGCCAGGATTCGATAATATCAAGTCATTTGCATTATTTAATAGAGGAGGAGTTTAGTTCACTTGCAATACTTTTTTTTTTTTTTTTTTTTTTTTGGGAGACGGAGTTTCGCTCTTGTTACCCAGGCTGGAGTGCAATGGCGCGATCTCGGCTCACCGCAACCTCCGCCTCCTGGGTTCAAGCAATTCTCCTGCCTCAGCCTCCTGAGTAGCTGGGACTACAGGCATGCGCCACCATGCCCAGCTAATTTTTTGTATTTTTAGTAGAGACGGGGTTTCACCATGTTGACCAGGATGGTCTCGATCTCTTGACCTCGTGATCCACCCGCCTCGGCCTCCCAAAGTGCTGGGATTACAGGCTTGAGCCACCGCGCCCGGCTCACTTGCAATATTTTCAATCATCTCTCTTGGTTCTGAGTTTCATTATATGATTGTGTTCAGTTCTTCTATTAGTTGCCTTTTTATTTTTAAATAATATACACAATCCTTATTTTTGTCCCATCTTCTTTACACATTATCTCTTCTCTCATCCCAAAGTCAAATGAAGAAAGTTGCACCTACACTTGCCCCTCCCCCTTCCCCTTCTGTTCACTTGAATTCCTCTAGCTTGAACATCACCTACGCAGTGTCAGTTGTCAGACACTCTTTCTAGTCTATAATTGCCTTCGGTTTTGATTATAAAAATTGAAACTGGCAAGCATTTAGTTATAAAACTATGTAAATGTGATTATATAATTATTGATCACTATAGAAAGAGTGTGATCAGACCCATTGAAAAGGAAATATGATCACATGTCGCTAGCTGACTCTCTCTCGAAGAATGTCCCCAGGAGAAGGTCAAATGGATTCTCTTTTTCTTACATTCCATCAATTGCTCAAAACCAGGCCACATTTTTGCCGGTTTTATATTTGAACCAAACCTTTCTTCTCTGGTTTTTCCATTTTTTTCTTGGCATTTCAAATTGTGCTGCTTCTTTCCTGAAGAGAAGGGAGAAAAAAAAAGTATATATATATAATATATATATATATATGAGATTAAAATTAAGGGATAAAATATCATTCCAAGAGATCCAGCATTCAAGTGATGAGAGAAAGAACAGGAGAGAGGAAATGAACACATAAACCGAAGTAGTGTGAGCTTAACAATTCCATTCTTAGTGTTGTTACGGATTTTTCATTTTTAGATGTCTCTACTGTCGTTTCACTGGGATTTTTTGTTCATCTGTCATCTTGCACCAAAGGGTCAATCACCTTAAGGGAAATATTCCTCCTCCCCTAAAGCTATTGTTACCCATAAGATAATGAACAATATTTTGACTTTTATTTTTGTGCTGGAATTTCTGTTGCTACTCGTGGCCAAAGTATACTGTTTTACACTGACAAATCGTGATCCATCTCAACAGAAATTTAAACAGAGCCCAGGTACACGGGTATGTTCTAATTTTCCTCTACAGAGGTTTTGCTTTTGTTGCTGTTTGGTTTTTGGTTTGTCCCCCAGGCTGGAGTACAGTGGTGCAATCTCGACTCACTGCAACATCCACCTCCTGGGTTCAAGCAATTCTCCTGCCTCAGCCTCCAAAGTAGCTGGGATAACAGGCACCTGCCACCAGGCCTGGCTAATTTTTAGTAGAGATGGGGTTTCACCATGTTGGCCAGGCTGGTCTCAAACTCCTGACCTCAAGTGATTCACCCAACTCGCCTCCCAAAATGCTGGGATTACAGGCGTGTGCCACCATGCCCAGCCCAGAGTTCTTAAATTGAAACATTTTTAATGGATGTGTAGAGATGAGGCCAACTCCTGTCCTTCTCCCTTAACCATAAGTGGTTTGGTGAAATTGAGAAGTGAGGGTTTTTCTGTCATGAGAAAATTGCTCCATCTGCAATACAGCAGGAAAGCACTGGTCTAATGGTGAAGGGAAGTCGGTTCCAGTCTCTGCATAGTCACTCTCAGTTCCGGTGATGGCCCCCAACACTGCGCCTCAGTCGCCTCATCTGTAAAAAGGGCATAAACACCCTTCCTGCATGTCTCTCAGGGCTGATATGAAGAGGAAAAGAGCTGATGTGCACACATACTCGGTACTCACTATTTGTTCGTTGATTAAATGAAGAGTTCAAGACAGGGTTCTCTTATTAAAGGTGTGGCTGCTCTGTGGCTGGAGGCCATCAGAGTTGATCATCCTCCTTGCCGGCAGCCAGATTGGCATGTAGAGTGGACTAAGCTCTGCCATCTCTCTTTCAGGATGACTTTGGTGGTCACTGCAAAAGCAAAGATATGCTAATGACCCTCATCTGATCACTGTACATTATATGTATGACACCATCACTGTATACCCCAGAAATATGTATAATTATTATGTGTCAATTAAAACTTTTTTTTTTTTGAGACTGAGTCTGGCTCTGTCACCCAGGCTGGAGTGCAGTGGTGCCATCTCAGCTCACTGCATGATCCACCTCCTGGGTTCAAGTGATTCTTTCACCTCAGTCTCCCAAGTAGCTGGGACTACAGGCTACCACCACACCCAGCTAATTTTTGTATTTTTAGTAGAGATGGGGTTTCACCATATTGGCCAGGCTGGAGTTAAACCTTTTTTTAAAACAAAGATAGCCCTGTTCATGGCCTTCCCCAGCTTGCTGGCCATTGGCCTTGAGAAGCCAACAGTTTCTCATATGTTGGAAGAGGAACAGGAACAGCTGCCTATGTTAAGATATCAGGAAGGCCAGCCAGGGAGCTGATGGGAGGCTGGGGATTATGAAGGGTCTAATCTCATCCTCTTCATGTAGACATGGGGGACCAAGTGGCTCTGAGAGGGAAAGGATCTGCTCAGTTAGTGACAGAGCCACAACTATGGGTAATCATAACAGATGCCATCACTCAAGACCACACCTCACCCTAAAGCTCCATTCTGAAGCACTTCGTGGAGTAGGTATCTCTTCTCACCACTGCCAAGCTGGGTTTTTGGAAGCTGCCCTAAACCCACCTCAAGCCCAAGAAGGCTTTGGACCCCAAATCCATACAAACACCTGCGGGAACTCACAGTTGGGAGAGATCTCTTGGAGAGCAAGTTCCACTTGCCCAGTCCCCGGGCCACTCTTTTTTACAGTGGCCTCCAAAGCCTCTGAGCCCAGCTGCCAGTTCCACTCCCAGCTCTGAGGTCCCACCTGGCAGGAGCACACATGCCACCGCTTTACACCAAATCCCCAAAGTGCCCGGCACATTCCAGGCTTCCACTGTCTCCAAGGGACCCTGGGGCCCTGCTAGAGAAGGGTAATGGCAGGAAGCCATAATATATTAAAACAGCAGATTAAAACAAACAAGAGCATTTTGGATCATATTACGCATCACTTTCCTCATGTCTGACAACAGAAAAAAAATCAAAGGCAGTAAAAAACAATCGCAGACCATAATGGTCTAATAAGTTGGTGATAAAAGTGCTTGTGGGAGCAGCATGGGCGTAGGCAGCTCCGGGTGCAGGAATCAAAGCCCTCTTCCAGATCCACAGTGGTGTGCTCAGAGGCATTACTGCTTAAGTGCTCGTTTAAGACTTCCTCCAAAATGCAGCGCACTCACTGGAGAATCATAATTAGGCCCCAACTGTGGGCCATATTCACACATTGTGCATCATTCTTAAAGATGACAGAAAAAAATTACTCAGGGCTATGTGGAGTAGGTATTAGATCTTTTACCGTTGTCCTCCATGGAAAAACAAACAAACAAACAAACAAAACACTTAATAATCTCCTGTCTAGACTCACAGCTTTTTGAATACTGAGCAATATGACTTAGTTTTGTTTTGAAATGGAAAAAGGAAAGCTGAGAAAACAGAAGACTGTGAACAGTGGAACTCTGGGGTTTGTTTTACAACCTATAGACGTGGTCAAATCCATAAGAAAGCAGAGTGTAAGGGATCTTTCATTCATGAGGCACGGTCCTGACCAAAGTCAGACCAAAATTCCAGAAAAATCTCAGAGCACTTTAGGCAGCAGTATATCAGCCCAGATCTGATTAAACATTTGGAACATGTCACCTTTTGAAAACCACTTTCATTTATTTATTTGTTCATTCATTCATTTTATTTTATTTATTTTTTGAGACAGGGTCTCACTCTGTTGCCCACCTGGAATGCAGTGGCAGAATCTTGGCTCACTGCAACCTCTGCCTCCTGGGCTCAAGTGATCCTCCCACCTCAGCCTCCCAAGTAGCTGGGACTACAGGTGCAGAACACTGCCCCTGGCGAATTGTTTTTTATACTGTTTATAGAGATGGGGTCTTGCCATGTTGTCCAGACTGTTCTTGAACTCCTGGACTCAAGCAATCTACCTGTTTACTCAGCCTCCCAAAGTGGTGGGATTACAGACATGAGCCACCATACCCGGCTGCCACTTAATAGTCTGTATGCTGAAAAAAATGTCTCAAAAATGTGCAGCTGTTTTCCCATGTCTCCTGCCCATTTCCTCCCCTACCTTCTAAACCCAAGCCCATTTCCAGCCCTACGTTTTGTCTCATGAGCAAGAGCTTTCTAGGAATTGAGAAACAAATCTGCCCATGACTCACGTTCTCCATACCAGCCTCGGTGCCCAGCTCACTGCTGCCTTTGCCCCCAGGGAAAAGATTTCTTGGGAGAACTTCATTCAGGTCAGGTCAGCGGACCTAAACCCGAATTCAGGTCATTTTCGTTTTTAATCTGAACATACCTACTGCTGTCATTTTTTCATCTGCTTTTTAAAACTGATCCCCCACCCCCAAAGTGGCATCTATTTATCATTTTTGTTGTTGTTTGGAGTTTTTTGTTTTTGTTTTGAAACGGAGTCTTACTGTGTTGTCCAGGCTGGAGGACAGTGGCGTGATCTCAGCTCACTGCAAACTCCACCTTCCAGATTCAAGCAATTCTCCAATCCCAGCCTCCTGAGTAGCTGGGATTATAGGCGTGCACCATCACAACTGGCTAATTTTTTATGTTTTTGGTTGAGACAGGCTTTTGCCATGTTGCCCAGGCTGGTCTTGAACTCCTGAGCTCAAACTATCCACCCCCTCAGAGTTCCAAAATGCTAGGATTACAGGCGTGAGCCACCATGCCCAACTTATTTATCTCATTCTATTCACATAGATTTATACATGTGATTTATAGATTTATCTACAAATAAATAGTATATTTTCATGACAACTCTGGGTGGTCAGTGACAGATTGTTATTTTCACTTTACAGATTCTAAAATATGCACTTTAATAAGAGTCTCACAGCTAGTGAAGGAGGTATTACAAGTCAGTAAGAAATGAATGAATTATTTGAATGTGATTTTGAAAAAAAAAATTGGCTCTCTTGGTGGTGTAAACATCTAAATTCTTATCTCACATCATAAAATTTAATAAACTCCTGACATTTTAAAATTATAACACCTGAAAAACATGAAAACCATAAGAAAATATAGATAAGTATTTATTTAATCCCTTCATTGAAATGTTTCTAAGTATAAAATAATGAAGGAAGTCACAAAGAAAAGGACTAACATATTAGATCACACAAAGACTGTGAACATCTACATGCAGAAAAATTTAAAGCAAACGATGAACTGAAAAATATTAGCCACATACGTGACAGCCAAAAAGGTTAATATTCTTACTATGCAAGGTATTCATACAAATCAATAAGAAAAATAGAAAAGGTTATGAATAGATAATTTACAAAAGAGAAAATACAAATGTTTGGCTAATACACATAAGAAAGCTATTCAGCCACAAAAGGAATCCAAAAAATTTAAAAAGTCACCAGAGATCATTTCCTGCTTATCAAATTAGCAAAAAATAGAAATATTAATAGTACCAGATGCTACAAAAGTGAAGTGAGAGAGGAATACAAATTATATGACCTTTCTGGAAGACAGTTTGGGCAATGTGTATCAAGAACCTTGAAAACACTCATGTTTTCTGACCCAGTAATTCCTTTTTAAGGACTTCATCCTAAAAAGTAATTAGAAATGTGGGCTAACATCGATGATAGACTGGACAAGGAAAATGTGGCACATATACACCATGGAATACTATGCAGCCATAAAAAACGATGAGTTCATGTCCTTTGTAGAGACATGGATGAATCTGGAAACATCATTCTCAGCAAACTGACACAAGAACAGAAAATCAAACATCGCATATTCTGACTCATAGGCAGGCGTTGAACAATGAGAACACATGGACACAGGGAGAGGAGCATCATGCACTGGGGTCTGTTGGAGGGGGCTAGGGTATGGACAGTGCGGGGTAGGGAGGTTGGGAAGGAATAACATGGGAAGAAATGCCAGATATAGGTGATGGGGGGATGGAGGCAGCAAACCATCTTGCCATGTGTGTACCTATGCAAAAATTCTGCATGATCTGCACATGTACCCCAGAACCTAAAGTACGAAAAAAAGAGAAAGAAATTGTGGGTTAAACTATTTGTAAAAGATATCCCTTAGAGAGTGAGCTATACCAGCAAAATATGGAAACAATGTTCCCCACCAGGAGAGTGGATGAAATTATAGTGCATCTACATAATGAAATATTGTAAAGACATTAAAATTGAAAAACTATATTAGTGGCAAGGAAAAATACCTATGCAATAGTGTTAAATGACAAATGCTGCCGCAAAATGGTCTGTAGTATCTCAAATATAGAAATGTATGCCCAGGAAAAAGAACTGTAAAGTAGAATCAACTGTGTTTACCAGTGAGTTGAATAATGATACATACCTTAAAAAACATTTTTCTAATTTTTTACAATAACAGGTATTTATTTTATAATCAGGAAAATACAATTGAGAAAACCCTCTTTTTATTTTTTCATACTGGCATTTCCATTTATATTTTTAATTTCTTTTTATTTTAAAATATTTAACTAACACAGCAGGGCGCAGTGGCTCATGCCTGTAATCCCAGCACTTTGGGAGGCCAAGGCAGGTAGATCACAAGGTCAAGAGTTTCAGACCAGCCTGGCCAATATGGTGACACCTGTTTCTACTAAAAATTAGCCAGGAGTGGCAGCACATACCCGGAGTCCAGGCTACTCAGGAGGCTGAGGCAGGAGAATCACTTGAACTCAGGAGGCGGAGGTTGCAGTGAGCCAAGATCGCACCACTGCACTCCAGACTGGGCAACAGAGTGAAATTCTGTCTCAGAAAAAAAAAAAAAAATTAATGAAGATTGAATATATTCAAGGTGTACGATGTGATGATTTGATATATGTATACATTGTATAATGATAACCACAATCAAATTAATTAATACATCCATTACCATCCGTGCTGTCCATCAGATTTCCAGCACTTGGTCATCTTATAACGGAAAGGTTGAGCCCTTTGACCAATATCTTCCTGTTTTCTCCAGCCCCCATCCCCTGGTAACTGCTGCTCCAAGCTCTGCCTCAATGTGTTTAACTTTTTTAGATTCCACATATGTGTGAGATCATACAGTATTTGTCCTTCCATATCTGGCTTATTTCACAATCTGGCACAGTGACCTCTGGTTTCACCCATGTTGCTGCAAACAAGCTTTTGTGTTTTTAATGGAAAAGTCTCCAAAAGGTAAACATCATAATGGAACTCCACATCTGGTCACATGAATCCCTAACCACTGTTTTTCCTGCCCTGTGAACTTTCATTTTACAGTAAGGACAAAACATACAACTACAAAGCCCACAGCACTTTAAAATCACTTCTGCATTGGTCAGTATACATAATTGCAATTATATAGTTATTAGTAATCAGTTCTAATTCATGTTTCTGTGTTTAGCTTTGTCTATTTAATATGATTTAATCTTTAAGTGTCCATGTGTCAACATAGTCAAAATGCATATCCCGTTGACAGTGTGGCAATCATTGCTATGTGTTCACCAAACAACTCCCCTTCACCCTGCGCTGATAGCAAGACTACATTTCCCAGCCTCCCTTGTAGTTAGATGTGGCAATGTGACTGGATTCTGACTCCTAGAATGTGGGTAGAAGTAATGTTGCCTCCAGACCTCCGAATCTGGCTCATGAAGCCTCCCTTGCAATCCTCTGTTCTCCCTCTCTTCCCTCATGGATCTATCAGATACAGGGAGGAAATGGTGAAGCCACTAGACACAGAAGCCTAGGACCCTACGTGATGGCATACAGAAACCCCTCTCCCCTACAGATCCACACTGGGTTGTAATGAGTGTAAGAAATAAACTTTTATCGTGCTAAGCCACCAAGGTTTGTGTTTATTTGTTAAAGTAACCTACCCTTCCCAAAATTGCCCTACCCTAAGCCCAAAGACTTAGCTTCTATCCCATTGTCTTGACAGGTCATAGTGCTTAACCACTTTCCCGTCTTGGATATTATCATTGTTTCTAGATAATGCTATGATTATCTTTGAAAAAAATATGGTTTTTCGTTTTCTCCTTCTGACTTATGTTTATGGAGTATATTCCCCAAAGTGGTATTACCAATGCATTATCGGGGAATAATGTTCACAGTTGTCATTACACTATTACCAGACTGCTTTCCAGAAACACTGGGTGCTGCACTGGGGGACAGATACAGGGAGGAAATGGATCTATGTATGGAAACACCAATGCATGGTGTTTCCCACACCGCCAGCAACACTGGGTTTTATCTTTAGCTTTGTTTGCTAATGCTGTGGCACCAACTAGAAAGTGCTTCCAAGGTCATTTACACTTGCAATACTTAGTGAGTGTCGCTATACTATAGAGTATGTGGCAGATAATACTTTGATCTAAAACCTCACCCTACTTATTCACCCTTTGGCCTGACTTCTGATGTAGGCAGCCGCAGGGACATTCACACGCCCGCATTAGTGAAGTGATGACATTGCAAAATGCAGTAAAAGGAATCAAGCTTTCACTTCTGCGTTACAAAATAGGCTTCTGGAAACTCACAGCAGAGACCATAGTTTTAAGAAGGGAAGAAGCTTTCTGTATTTCAAAGCCTGGCTTTTGAGCATAAGAAGCCTCAGGCCTGAAAGACTCAGGGCATACAGTTTAGGCATAAATAATAGATTTGGAAGAATATGTGATCAGTCAGAGCCAGACAGCCCTGCCCCAGGCTGGATAAAGTTTCTCTGGACTGAGGCAGTGGAGAGGTAGAGAAGGCAGAAGAGGCTTAACTGGTGGGTCCTGAAGGCAGAAGGCTGCGACAGGAGCCACAAGGGACAGATGGAGGCTGCTTTCCCTACACTGCTCACGTCCACGCAGTGCAGCAGAGAAGGCTGTGCACAGCTGCCACATATTCAGGAGGGGTTGCTGCACAGGTGCTGTCCTGAGCACTATGGATACGGCAATGAATGAAAAAGACCAAATCGTTGCTTCTGTGGAATGATGTTCTAATGGAGGAAATAGACATCAACAAACAAATAAATTTGCAGGCACACCTCGCTGCAGTGCTCCTCACAGATGTGTGTATTTTACAAATTGAAGGTTGGTAGCAACCCTGCGTGGAGTAAGTCTGTTGGGGCCATCTTTCTGATAGCATGCGCTCACTTCATGATTCTGTATCACCTTTTGGTAATTCTTGTCATATTTTGAACTTTTTCATTATTCTTCTTGTATCTATTATGATGATCTGCAATCAGCGATCTTTGCTGTTACTACTAAATTGTTTTTGGGTACCACTAACCGCGCCCATAAAAGATGGCAAACTTAACAGATGAATGTTATATGTTCTAACTATTCAGCTTCCCTATGCCCTGAGACACACAAATATTGAGATTAGGCCAATGAATAGCCCTAGAATGGGTTTTAAGTGTTTAAGTGAAAGGAAAAGTCACACTACTCTCACTTTAAATCAAAAGCTGTGAGTGATTAAACCATGAGGAAGACACATTGAAAGCCAAGACAGGCTGAAAGCTAAGTCTCTTATGCCAGTTAGTCAAGTTGAAAATGCAAAGGAAAGGTTCTTGAAGGAAATTAAATGTGCCACTCCAGTAAACACACAAATGATAAGAAAATGAAACAACCTTATTATTGATGTAGAGAAAGTTGTAGTTGGTCTGGATAGAAGATCCAACCAGCCACAGCATTCACTTAAGCCAAGCCTAATCCAGAACAAGGCCCTAAGTCTCTTCAATTCTATAAACACTGAGAGGAAAGGTGGAGGAGGAGGAGGAGGGAGGAAGAGGAGGGAGGAGGAGGAGCAGGAGGAAGAAGAAGAAGAGGAGAAGAAGAGAAAAAGGAAAAAGAAAGAAGGAGGAGGAGGAAGAGGAGGAGGAGAAAAAGAGGAGGAGGAGGAAGAGGAAGAAGAAGAGGAGGAAGAGGAAGAAGAAAAGGAAGAAGAAGAAAGAGAGGAAGAGAAGAAGAGTTGGAAGCTAGCAAAGTTTGGTACAGGAGGTTTAAGGAAAGGAGCCATTTTCATAGGATAAAAATGTCACCACTTGAGGTAAAGCAGCAAGTGCTGACGGAGAAGCTACAGCAGTTATCCAAAAGATCTAACTAAGATTATTGATGAAAGTGGCCACAGCAGATTTTCAATGTAGATGAAACACCCTTATATTGAAAGAAGATGCCATCTAGGGCTTTCATAGCTAGAGAGGAAAAGTCAATGCCTGGCCTCAAAGCTTCAAAGGACAGGCTGACTCTCTTGTTAGAGTCTAATGCAGCTGATGACTTTAAGTTGAAGCCAATGCTCCTTTTCCATTCTGAAAATCCTATGACCCTTAAGAACAATGCTAAATCTACTCTCCCTGTGCTCTGTAAATGAGACAACAAAGCCTGGCTAATAGCACATCTGCTTATAGCATGGTTTACTGAACATTTTAAGCCCACTGTTGAGACCTACTGCTCAGAAAAAAACAAACAAAAAAACCCTTTCAAAATATTACTATTCATTGACCATGGCCTAAGCACCCAAGAGCTCTGATGGAGATATACAAGAAGATTGATGTTGTTTTCATGCCTGATAACACAAAATCTATCCTGAAGCTTATGGATCAAGGAGTAATTTTGACCTTCAAGTTGTGTTATTTAAGAAATACATTTTATAAGGCTATATAGCCGCCATAGTGATTCCTCTGATGGATCTGGGCAATGTGTGTGACTCACTTGATCATGATATTCACTTTAGTGTGGAGATCTAGAACTAAATCCACAATATCTCTGAGATGTGTGTGTATGTGTGTCACACATATATATCACACACACATATAGGCACACACACACATGCACATATATATACACACACATACATACACACACATATATATATACACACACACATATATATGTGCGTGTGTGTGTGTGCCTGTGTGTGTGATATATATGTGTGTGTGTGTGTCTATATGTACATGATGTCAGTGGCGATAAGCGTTCTGAAGATAATTAAACAGGACTGAGAGTGATGGATGGTGGCATTATTTTAAATAAGATGGTCAGAGAAAGCCTTTCTGGAAACCTGATATTTGAGCAATTGAAGTTTAAAGGGAGCCCTGAGCATATTTGGGCACAGAACATTCCAAGAAGTAAGAAGAATGAGTGCAAAGGCCGAGACAGGAGACTGTCTTGGCATTGACAGACCAGTGTGGCTGGAGCAGGTGAGAGAGGGAAAGAGATGGTGGGAGAAAGTCAGAGAGAGAGCAGGGCGGCCAAGGCACAGTGGATGGGCTGTCTGGATAGACGGGATGGAGGCAGCCTTGGTTAACACAGGGTCTCTCTCCTTAGAGGTGTCTAAGTCCCAGAGGGCACTGAGGGGTCAAGGCAATGAGAGTAGGGTGCCCAGGAGGACAGTGTTTGGATGTGGCTGATGGTCCTCGAGGCCTCCACTGCATCCTCCTGGC